CAAACTATTAGATGAGCAGACAGTCATTATCGAATCCGCTGTCGTGCACGAGGAAATCCTACGTAACAAACGTCTGTCTATACCCTTACGGTATTAACAAGTCATTTAGGCCGATCAGATTTGGAAGTACGATGTGCGAGTTGACTCTTTGGTGCTTGACTGCCAGCTTCTTACTATCGATAAATGGCAGTCTTTCGTCTACCTTTTGCAACAGTCCCAGAGAAGCTAAGACCATAATTTCATGGGTAGAGTCCTGAGACATTATGGAACGTTCCTTCATCTCTTCGATAACTCACAACTTCTACTCTAGCGGTATCAGCGGAACAGCTATGTTCCCTGATTGAGAAAATAACCCATTTATATCATGTGTCCAATCTGGCACGAGATTTCTTCTTTCGGCTGAGTTGGCACTTCTATATAATCCTTTCTGATATTTTCTTTCGTCTCCGTACCTTTTGACCAACAGGTTGCATAAGTGGAGCAATTTCGGTGTGTCCTTCGTACTTTGAACCAACTGTAGAGACATTTCTTGATAACTTCCAAGTCGAATGACCGTAGCTGCTATTACAGTTTCGTTTTCGACCAACTGTGTGCAAATGTGTGCAGCCAGATGTGTCCTTAGCATGTGACATCGACTGCAACTGTGTAAACGATCAGCTGTGCAACAAGCAAGTGCTTGGAAGCAAGTGTGCGTGACGCAAATTCATGTGAACCCTCTCACTGTCTCAAACCTGCTTCACGTAAGATGCTAACTAAAACTGTCCCAGTATAAGCAAGTGCATATGTGAATTTGTGGACGGCTGTTCAATTTTTATAAGGAACCCCACATGGTATTTTGCAATGCTCAGTAGAAACTACCTATGCAAAAAAATCGAATCAATGCGGCTCATGACCAGCTGAGAGGATCAGTGCACTGCCTAGAAATGTAAAAGCAGCCAAAATGAATATATTCCCTCCAAGTGATCCCAGAACAACGGAAAGAACCACTTTCCTGTGTTCCACTCTCCTTGTCGAAGTCACCGCCTCCAAACACCTTAGCTCCTCCATCACTGCCAATGGACAGTCTAAAGATGAAATTACGGATCAGAGAGCTGCTGCAAGGACACTTTCTTCTAGTTCTGCAAGCCGTTGTGGGACGACGGGAGGTCAGCCTGAAGACGAAGCCATAGTTTTGCCACCATCAGCTCCATTCTCCTCGGTGGATGTGAGAGTCGAAGAAGCTAGAAACCTTCGATCACTGGCGTTATAGAAATCACCCCGCGGACACGATTTATCGACCACATAACCATGCCCGAAGCAACATCACTGAGCTCTCAACAGTCCAAAAAGAAAAAGGACTGCATTGACTAGGGCGCGTGCTGACGTGTCCACCAAACGAAATCCTCTGATAGCCGTGGAAAACAAAGCACAACTTATGACTTGGCGGAATGCCGTCAAAGCTGAAGTTAAAATCTTCTTAGAGTCAGAGATATCCGGGTACAAGCGATAGAAGAAACGCCGGTTAAACATTGTGGACGACACTGGGAGTCACTGGAAAGCTGAAAGCAGCGATTGGGGTCAGTGTAATCGGCTAAACTAGCTATGATTACACCTGCTAAGAAAACAACAAACAACCATCTAAAAATGTTACAACCAACTGATTTACAGTCATGGGACTAATATCAACAAATCTGTTTCAAACCTTGAACGGCTTGTAAAGACGACGCTTCACTTCCTTGCGATAATCTGAATAAGCGGATTCATCCGAAATGTCGGTGCATTTCAATCGTAAGATTTCATAAATATGCCTCGCTTGATTCTGTAAAATACAAAAATATACATACAAATTTGAGCAATGTTAAAATGCGAATTATGAAAACTATGACAAACCTGTAACAAGTCGTAACATAAGTTTAAAACGGCATTACGGACCAGCAATGGCTTTACGGCGCTCAGTCAGAGCAATAAAAAAACGAAATGGCATAAAAATCAAGTAAACATTAACAGCAAAGCTCACCATCAGGAAGCAGATTCGACAATTTAAACGCCGCTCCTAAGAGCAATGTGATAACAATGGAACAATTAACTTTTCCACGAAGAACAGATTCAAATCGAGCCAAACTTTACAATTATTTGTCGTTCCTAACGTTGCTGTAACACTGCGAAGCAGCGGTTCTAAGTTCGGATAAGCGGATGAGAAAGGATGAGACTTAAGGACCGCAGCAAACAATCCCTTAAAACCTCCCGTAACCTGTGCCTCATGGAATTGAAGTTATCGAACGTTATACAGACTCAGTCGTTGCCAAGGTTACCAAGGGCCGCGCAGGCTGTTGGGAGACTGAGGCAGACTGCGAAAAGTCAGCGATCAGAACCTGCTCATTGCCCTCCGCCAGCCGGGGCGTAACAGCACAACAACGGCTGACGAAGACCCACGGAACGACGACGAAGACACCAGTCAGCAACGGAGTCGCTGCCCGTTCTGAACTTAGGAGGCAGATAGCACGATGCCATTATAGCACGTCAGAAAAGGGCCAACGAGGACGACACCACCAGTGGGAGCTTACAGTCGGAAAGTGGAATATATCTTTAGTCAGAAGAAAAAGAAATGGAGATAGTTGATGAGACCCTAAGGTAACAACTCGACACAGTTGGACTTTCGTCAACGAAGCGCCAACGCTCTGGAATTCTGGACCTCTACGGGTGGAAGCCATTCTGCTAAGGCAGACATCACGAAACGCGCTCAGGCTGGTGTTGGTGATCTGCTAGAACCAAGCCTGGCTGAGAAAATCATTGACTGGAAGATAATCAACGGAAGAATGACAATCCTCTGACTGAAACTAGAACAGGTTAAAGTTCTGACCTTATTACAGATCTGTGTACCAAATTTGGAGGGAGAATATGAGTCGTTCACTTCAGGAAGTGGAACATGCTCTACACGAAGTGTCGACCAAGGAACCCGTAGTTCCAACGAGCGATTTCGAGGCGAATGTAAGAGCATACATTGAGAAGTGGAAAGGCGTGATTCGAAAGAACGGCCCCAGTAACCTCAAAAATAACGGCAAGAAGTTGTTGCGGTTTTGCCCAAACAACGTAATGTGTATTGTGAGCACCAGGAATCGAAGCATGCATCAGTATACCTGGTATAGGGAAGCATGTGCACAGAAGTCGATGATCGATTTGATACCTATATCTTTTGACTTACGACGTCCTGCAACGGATGTTCTGTTAAAAGAGTCGCAGAGCTGTCAAGCGATCATACCTTGTCGTTGGCACCCTACGCTGTGAAAAATGGAATATCATGCGATGATCCGGTGGTAGAAGCAACCAGAGAATCAAATGGGAAACATCATCTTTGGTGGACACGAGAGCGAAATTTGCATATAACATCACAAGACCGTTTGAACAGATCCTGGTGATGACCACTGCTGTGGAAACCAAGTGGCAGCTCCTACTCGAGGCCTAAGAGCGGCCTACAAGAGGCTGCCGCCGAATGCTGCGGCTTAAAACTGGTTCGCCTGCCAGGGAAATCAGAAACGAATTTCCTGGTGGACACGAGAAATACAAGCGGCTGTCGGCGAGAAAGCTCTGTTCAAGAGATGGCTTGGAAGCAACGAGCCTTTAACTCGCATGCAGTATGTAGAAGCGCGCAAGGCGGCAGCGAAAGTAATGGTCAAAACAAAAGCTGATTACTGGGCAAATTCCAGTGAGATGCTTGAATCATACTTTTGAACGTCTCATAAAGGATGAAGATATACTTCAACGAAAGAAAGAGTACCTTAAGGAGTTTCCTAACCATGACCAGCCGAGGAAAGACTCACCTAAAGAGCAGCAGGCAAGGTATATTAGACTTTCAGCAAACGAAGTCTCCGAAGTTGCAAAATGGTTGAAAAGTGGCACTGATGTTGGGATCGAGAAAATTCGCCTAGAGATTCATAAAGTTTTAAGCGAATAAGACATGTTGCGGTCAACACCTGTCTGTGAAACTGAAATGACTATGAAGAAGACACAAGCAGACAGAAAAACAGGAATAATAGTACAGCTGTTCGATAAGAGACAGCTACCACTGTTTCAACTTTAATGAACCTCTTGGGAAAAGTCTGCAAAAAGGTGTTGGAAAGGAGATGCCGCGGAATAATTGGCATTATCCAAGAAGATCAGTGCGATTTCAGGTCAGGAAGAAGTATCTCTGACTAGGTCTTAGCCTTGCGCCAGATTGTTGAGAAACTGTGGGAGTTTGTTCATCCAGTTTACATGTGCTTTGCTGACTTTGTGAAAGCATATGAGCAGATTCAGACCAAAAGCTGTGAGACTGCATGCGCCAAAACGTATGGGATCGATGGCCAGCTGCTACGAGTCATACAGCCACTATATGTTCATAATAGGTGCTGCGTCAGAACCAAAAGCGTTAAGCACAGATCTTGTAAAGGTAGCATTCTCTCAGTCAAGGGCGTGTTCTGCTCGCTCTTTTGTATCAGCTGCACATCAACAGAATAGTCAGATGCAGTCAGAGGCTTCTGAGGCGAATCGCTGGGCTCACGAGTTTCGACAAGACCCGTAGAACAGACAGAATGGGACGTTTTGGCGCAGACCGCTGGTTAGGGTCAGCGCTCGGGGCAATGAACCTGTGTAACTGGACAGTGGTCAGCAGCATTCATTGCTTGATTAGGTCCATCATGTTACATATCACTGGATGGTTCTTATGCCATTGTGAAACGACGGAACTTCATATTACTATTTCATGGTGATGACTGTGCAATGTCAGTAGACCAGGGCGCAGTCTGTGATCAAACGTTTAAAACTGTCTCACTGGCATATAGTCATTTATATCAATTGTTCGACATCGTCCATCATATTGACTATCAGGGTAAAGCACTATGCGAGTATAATGCGAAGCCGCTGTCAAACTATGAATATCAATGATTTTAGCATGACTCCATCGTGCTGACTGCACCAGGTCGCCAAGTCAGCGCGCTGTTATTTCATTGGGATTGTGAGTTAATATAATTGTGTGGTCATCTGTAAAAATTACTTGATTTAACCCCTTACATCATACATCGCTCGAAACCTCTTTGTGAATGGAACAACAAACTTTCCTCACAAGTATCTATTTCAAAGTTGGCATCTTTGTTTGACGATTTCACTGTGACTATTACGCAAGCCCATTAAATCAGCACGACTCAACGTTAACATTAACAGTCGCGAGTTTTAATCTATGGAACTATCAGAAGTTTCTCTGTTGCCTTTATGACTAATTTCATCATGTTGCATGTCAACAAAAGGCTGTCTCTGAGCGCAATCCGTCCATATCCGACTTTAGCCTTAAAATTTCTCTATGCTGTTTGCAAATACATCTACTACATATCATCCATCATATTGCACTGTTAGCTAGAAACAGATGATAGCGTTTTTTTATCAGACTGTTTTATATCAGAATTTAATCTTTGAAAATCGGCTGAACAAAACAATTGAAATGGAACGCTGGACTAAAAGAAAGCAAAATTTAAATTTCTTTATCATAAAAACAATTTTATTATAGTAAAACATTACAGTACTACGTCATATCATAGCAATCCGCTAACTCACGGAGATAGGTAATAATGCCCCCATTATGACATTCATTCACAACAGATTTTATTTTCTTTAATCCGCGTCCTGATATTTCAGTTTGACTAGTGGCTGATGATCAGCAGCCAGTTGTTCGTAGTGTATTTTCCGGACCTTCTGTACTTTGCGGAGCCCATCAGTTAACTTCCATACCGACTGGTGTGACATTCCCAGTTCACCTGAATTCGTCGATGGGATGCCTCGGTATGGTTATTCGTACGGTCTTCATTGTGGATCACCTTACGATAAATCGTCCACATTTCTGATTTGACGTCTAGTACTTCTTCTACAATTCAAGCGATCGACGTAAATGTCTCCAAACCCCCCTACCCCAAGAAGCTGCAGTTCGTTGGGAAGTTCTTCCACCAGCCTGTCGTTCCCTTGATGTAGTATAACAGTGAATACAAACGCTACCGGTGTTATCATCCTCGCTTCACAGACGAAATCAGCATCGGCGTTATAAGCACCAAGAAGATGCAGTTCACCAAAATACTTCTTCATATTGTAATTCAGATGATAAAAACAACCACGAAGTTGAATTCTGGGAAAGGGTTCTTCATTGCGTGCGTCGGTGCAATTTCGAGATCGCAAGCAATCGAATCCGTATAAAGTTCTGGCACCAGCTTTCATCTCAAAAGTGCCTGTTGTACGTTGCCTTCTGACTGTTAGTCTAAAGCGTTATATATATATAACAGGATGGACATCACTAAACATTTTCGCCAGCACTACCTCGATTTGCGAAAACAGTGGCGGTGCAGGTCGAAATGTTTCATCTACAAACCGTGTCTCCGACTCCATCAAGATCTGCAAGTCTCCCTTAGTGCCAAGTATCAGTTTCGACTAGATCCGGGTCCCCTGTAGGAAATCAGGAACTATTCAAAAGCGCCAGGTTGCGACTCGTAACTTTAATACGATTTCGGCAGATCCAGTGTTCCTAAATTCAATGGAGTTGGTGGGACCGTACTTATGTTATTCTTTCTTTCTATGACGATTTCCTTAAAAGCAGGAAGATTTTGAACGAACACTGAGTTCCTTGCGAAAGTTCAACTGTGCATCCGTTAATGACCTCTACCGTCGCTTCCGAACTTTCTTTGGCACGCCTTTTAATTTTGATAACCATTTTGGCTATCTCCATACCAGCAATCGAACTGTCATGAGAATGTTAACGACGTTTAACATAATAACGGTCGTACTTGCTGTGTGAATCCAAGCCGTACAATGATTTGTTTGTTCACAGCGCCAAACCGTATTTGTTCCGTCGCTATACTTCTTGTCGAACACGTAAAAAAGCACTTCGACGAAACTTTTTCCTGATCTCTGACAGCAGCACTGCCATCTTCAGTAGACTCTATGACTTGCGCATCCTATATCCGTTAAGAGTGTAACATGCGCTTAATGATCGCAGTGGCCGCATCCCAGTTGCAAAATGGTATTTTGAGGTTGCAGAGAATGGCATAATTAAATCAAAACTCCTTGGAATTCGAATATTTGACCGAAGTTTCGCAGTGTGTTTATAGAGAACTACCCATCGGCAGACAACGTACTTCGAGAAAACGAAAAAGGGATTGAAACAGATCTTTGCAAAGAGTATAAATTCTAATTCTCGGGTAAATGACTGTCCAACGACTTACTGACATAACGCTTTCACTATGATGAAATCGTTAAATAATATGGAATTTTCTAAATTCACAAATTCGACAATCTATTGATTGATGAATGTTGGTGAAATCAAGCATATCAGACTTCTATCTATCAGTCAGTTACATGGATTCAACTCATAACTAGGTGACTGCACGCTAAATTAAAATGTCATCGCGTCATCGATAACGTGCAATCATTAAACAAAACTTAGAATTTCTTTGTTTTGACAAAAGTGACGCATTATTCTCAGAGAGAGCTTTTAATTATTATGGAATATTATGAAATTTGTCACGAAGGAAACAAAGATATCTTCTGAAAGTTCCATAAATTTAAACTCGTCACTGTTAATGTTAACGTTGGCGCGTGCCGATTTAACAACCTTATTGACCGTAATTGTCGACCACAAAGAAATCATCGGACGAAGATGCGAACTTCAAAATTGATATCCGATATCAAAAGACTAAAAAGGATTAAAATTGATACTTATGATGAAAGCTTAATATTCTGCGTACAAGGTGGTTTTCAGCGATACATAAAGTGAGCGGTAAAATAAAGTAATTCATACAGGCGATTACATAAACTCCGATTCCTGATAAAATGATCTCGCGCTAACTTAGCGACCTCACGCAGTCACCGCGATGGAATCACAAAATAAAATGTAAATTATCGCATTCAGAGTTAAGCAACGGCATTGCACTTGTAGAAAGCTTTCCATTGATAGTCATCGTAATGGGTGAAGTGAAACAATTTACATAGATGACCACATGAGATAAATTGAAACTTCTGACCGCAGACTTCGCGCTGACATCGTACAGTCGTCATTATGTAAATGTAATAAGAAATTCAATAGTTTCACAGTGGCATCGTACTTTACTAGAGCTATCCACTGATATATAGCATGATGGACGGAATCACGTAATTGATGTTGCTGACCACCAGTCAGTTCCATTGCGTCAATCGCAGGACCAAGCGATGACACCAACCAGCTTTCTGCGCTAGAACGTCAGACAGAAGTGGAAAAATCCAAGATAGGCTTGGTG